GTTGGTAGAACCATCGTTTTATAAACCCTTATGTTATTTATTTACTGTGTACAATACGTATGTACAATATATATGTATACTATTTATATACCTATAGATTGGGTATATAATGTGGTCATGTATTTATTTACTAACCAAATACTACACTAGCTTCCGCCAGCGGCTTCGCCCGCGTGCTGTGTTGATAAAAGCAGCCTATAGCAATAGAACAAAATCGAAGTAGGTATACATAAAATTTGTTACTAATAGTCTCATTTTTATGGGTACATCTCCAATGGGTAAATACCCTATTACTTACTAAGCCTCCGCTATCCGTCCGTCCATAGATATAATGGTACGGATCTAACTAATAGGTATATAGTAAGTATAACAAATATTTCATAAAACCTATCTATTATATTATATTTTAGACCGCATCGCGTCGACGCGGCAACCGTTACACAAAAATAATCCCTAAAGCATGATTCTTGTTTTGTATGATGTTTAAGTAGGTCTTTTACAACACTATAACTTGACGAAGGTCGAAGTCGACCTGATGTTGGAGCTGGAAGACAGTCGAGGGATCTCCTTGACTATTTGGAGTAGTTGCCTTGTGTTTGAGCTTGAATGATTCGTATTGGCACTTTGCACCAGGCTTGGTCGTAACTGTCATTAAGGGTCTGATGATGAGAACGAAGGACAAGGAACTCCTGAACGGATTATAGTTACTACTTCGTGTTTGAACTTTATTCATATTGTCAGTAATCATACTAATATATAATATGAAATAACATAAACATCACTCTAACAATCTACGAAGTAGACAATTTTGCACACAGAAAATTTATTTTTTATGTTTGTGTTTACTTTTTGTAGTCGTTTGTTTTTTTTTCATTTAGGTAAATAGAAAATAATAATAATAACTTTTTTTATAATCTCGCAGTAGGTGCCAAGTAAATGGTACATACCAAACAACAACAGTATTAGAAACGTGTATTGATCGGTACCTAGTAATCATCATTGTTTTACTTGGTACCTGGCACTTAGTAGGCACCGACTTCGAGATTATAAAAATAGTTATTAATATTATTTTCTATTTACCTAAATGAAAACATGTATTACTTTGTACACAGAAAATTAATTTTTTGGTTAAAAATTATTTTATTTCACCATTTTAAGTGATAGGTATGCAGAGCAAGCAAGGATAATGCGTTTCGAATGAGAAGACGACGGCTACTTGAGACCGAAAATCACGGTAATAGTAGTAGTCCTTATTGTTCAGTTCTGTAAATTGTTGAGGAATGCCCTCGACTGTCAATGGTCTCCATCATTATACTGTAGACCTTCAACATAGTTACATAATCTATATAGGTGCAAAGTGCTCACCAATGCGAATCATTCCAGCCCAAACACAAAATAATTACTCCAAATAGTCAAAGAGATCCCTCTACGGTCTTCCGGCTCCATCATCAGATTTACTGCATAACTTCAATGTAACTCATGTAGGTGCGAAGTTTTTATTGATATAAATGAATTAATTCCAAACACGAGGTAGTTACTGGAAACCGTTCAGGCGTTCCCTGAGCTGTCCTTCGTTGTCATCATCAGACCCCTAATGACAGTCACTACCAGTCTTGGTGCAAAGTGCTCACCAAGAAGAATTATTCAAGCCCAAACACAAGGCAATTACTCCAAATAGTCAAGGAAATCCCTCGACTGTCTTTCGGTTTCATCATCATCAGGTCGAGTTCAACCATCGACAAGTTGACGTAAATACCTGAATAACTTCAGAAAATATACGAATCATGCCGACTGTCCCTATAAAATTTTAAATTTCCACTCGATTTTTCTGGGTTTCCATCATCAGATCTTGACCTGGTGAACATGGGACAACCTGGAAATCATACCCTACTGAACAAAAAAAAATCCAAATCGGTCCAGGAGGCTTAAGTAATCGGTTAACATAAAAAAAAATCCCGACGAATTGAGAACCTCCACCTTTTTTTAAAGTCGGTTAGAAGTATTATTAATTTTTAAATAAGTATTGAAAAAGTTATTAAGTTACACTGTCCCAAAAGTAGCTGAACAACATAAGCGTCAAAATTATATTAACACAGTGCAACATTAAAAATATATTGTTAACCTAATTTTGACTTTTCTGCTGTTTACTGACTTTTGATACAATGATGTTCAGCGACATTTGGATTGATGGTGTACAGCGACTTTAGGAATACTATAGTGCACAGATACTTTTGAATTAGTCGTGTTTAACGACATTTGTAAATTTCTGACGTACAGGCTATTTTTTTTCCTAGTTGTGACTATAACTTATGGCATTTTATTGTGAACAGGTGTTTTGGAAAGTTGATTCTGTTCATCGACTTTTGGAGCTGACTGTACACATATTATTTTAAATTGCATTTTGCATTCTAAATTTATCATCTCTAAGTATTCTTCTTATGTTATCTACGATTACCATATTCTCTCTGCATCATCCTAAGGTTGACTAATGAGAATGATGTCTCATGAAGAATAAAGTTGCAGTTAAGTTGCGACGTCGCTTTCCACGCGCGCCATACAACCAGTTGGGGCCCAATAGAGATCCTAGTATATTCCTAGTAAGCACCGATGTGACTTTTTAAGTTCATCTTAACGTCACTGACATGTAGTGAAGCCGGACATTGTGAAAAAAACTGGACAAACATTTCTAATTTGAAGTTTAAAATCTCCAATTGTAACCCAAATGCCATCTCCAAGCATGGTGATTAATGCTCAAACTTCCGCTTTTTGAAGAGGCTGATGACGTAAGACAATATGTCACGTAGAAGTACCAAATATTCGTAGATATAAGTTCTAATTGAACGTGTGATTTCATGTGCCTATTTTTCCTAGTTTGTGTGTTCACAATTGTTTGTAAATCAAGTAAGAATAACAACGGATGTATGACGTTTTAACGTACCTACATTAACTTAATAATGCTATCCTACTAATGCTAGCCTTAAAATACTTAATCACCTTTATGTTGCTAATATTAAGTCGTTTTAAATGCACATTTCAAATGAATTTTCTGAATTAGCATAGAGTTGGCGCATTTTTTTTTAATTTCTCCGTTTACATACACAAGCCTTCCCATAAATGGTTACCAGTCAACATCTATGACATGCGTTACAATAAGGCTATTACTCGAAAACCTAACAAGGGATCCACCACGTACGTATTCACAAGTCTCCCTTTTGTAGAAAGCAGTTTTGTTAGGGGCATATGAATAGGCAGAGATCCTGGGGCCCAAGTCTGCCATTTTCAAAATATTGTCATCCCAACACGCTTCCATTGTCATTTTGCTAAAAGTGTGTAATCTGTTAATTCATAATGACTGGTCATTGGGAAGGCAGCGGTGTTGTAATAGAATTGTGATATGAGCTGTCTCGTAACAAATTATAAACAATAGCTGCACAATAATATTCGAAGCGTAAATTATGTACATACGAGATAACCTTTCTAAAAAAATATTTCTGTGAAGTTTTACTGTGCACAGAAAATACGCCATTACATAAGTAGATTACCAAACGTAGTTAATAATGAGTATTAGCTATCTGTAAAGTGATGAAAACATAGGTACAAACATCGATCACTAATAAAGAACTGTTAGTTAGAAGTTCTTTATTAGTGATCGATGGGTACAAAGGACAATAAAATCATGAAATTTTATACAAAATATTTTATTATTATACCTCATCTAAACAATAATCCAATCGCAAACTAGACAAAACATTTAATCAGTCGATGGTCAATCACTTCCTTATCCGTGGTATCCGTAGCCGTATCCGCCGTAATGGTGATGGTGGTGGTGATGACCCGGTGCTGGCGCTGCGTCCTCGACAGGCACTGGGCTACGCACTTGTCTCACCAGTTCCGGGGCTCCACTGGCCAGCGCCAACATGGCGCACACGAACAAAGTGATGAAGACAAACTGGGGAAGAGAAGCTCTTATTAAACGCGAGACACTAAGTATTCAAAATGCAGTACCTATAGCAAATAACTAAAGAATGGTACATTGACAAATTTATGGAAACTACCAGTTTTTGCCCGCGACATTGTTCGCGTGGAATAGTGACTCCCTGCAGATATTTGGTTAAAAACTATCCTATGTCCTTTCTCTAGTTCCAAACTACCTATGTTTGTACCAAATTTCACACAAATAGGTTAATTAGTTTAGGCGCGAAGAAAAGACTTACAGACAGACAGACAGTGCTACTTACGTATTTATAATATTAGTTTGGCTTTTAAATACAACTTTTTAGAATGACAACAAAACTTCAAAAACACAAAATTTGCTACTGATGAGTTTCAATATTAATCCCTCGGGAAATATTAATAAAAATACAGTACACGTTGATAAAAATAAAATGCATTGTATTCGGGTGATTTCCTTATTCAAAGTAAATTTTCAGTCTAATTAAGTAACAAGTATTGTATTTAACGCATTGTCACATGTCTTCGAAAAGCTATCGCAAGATAACAACATTAAAATAATGATTGCAATTGATAACCTTCTCAAGGTGATTTATTCTACGAGATTTTTTTTCTTGGGAAAAAATCTTTTAGATTTAATAATATTATAAAGTACTTACGAATTTCATTGTAACAAGTTTCAGGTTGAACTGATGTCTGTGTTCCATAAACGGCTCGTTTTATACAAACTCTTTGATGACGACAGAGGGAACAGGTCCCAGCAAGTTGTACCCAAAAAACAAGAAACTAATTCAAATTCAGTTTCAATAACAGTACGACACAGGAAAATATGTAAAATAACTTTTACGGCTTTACTTATGACGATGATATATCTAAAGATTTTATCAAAACCTAATTATACACTATGTTCTGTTTCCCACATTTGTGTGTATTCTTTGTCAAACCTTGCAGCAAAATCAAATATTTTACGCGTGACAACATGCAACGAACAAACTCACTATTCGTAATTTTTAAGGATCTAAGTGTGGGAGAGCCATGCTTCGGCACGAATGGGTCGGCTCGACCGGAGTGATACCACGGCCTCACAGAAAACCGGCGTGAAATAACCACTGCGTTGTGTTTCGTCGTGTGAGTGAGGTTACCGGAGGCCCAATCCTTCCCCTTCCCCATTCCCTCCTCAATCCCTAAATCTCCAAATCCCTAATCTCTTAAAGGTCGGCAACGCACTCGTAACACCTGCGTTGCGAGTGTCCATGGGCGGCGCTGATTGCTTACCATCAGGTAATCCGTCTGCTCGTTTGCCGACCTATAACATATAAAAAAAAAAAAATTCTTATAGCTACCTAACAGCTAAACGAAGCAAATTCTTTTTTTACGATTTTACGAGAAGTTCAACAATATTTTATGAAGGAGATCAATCAATATCTTATGTAGGGTATCCATCATCATATAACATCATATCGTCATTTTCAACATAGAGCATCACTAGCTCTATACATAAATTCGCAAAACTTAAAATGTAATTAAAATTCCAATCTTATTCAATAATACAGGTAACTCATTAATGTTCTTGTTGATAAAATAAAATATTGATTAAATATACTTTACAGGAAAGCAGTTTTCTGATCCTTAAAGTTTTGGTAAGTGCAACTTTTGGCAAGTAAGAAATTATCTTCAGAGTATAGAAGACACAGAGATATATCATATTTATGCTTATTATTCAACAGTGTTAATAAAAAATTTGTTTAATAAAGAGTTTGCTGTTCACAGCTGAAATTTGGCACCAATATGTAAGTATATCAATCACGCCGACAAAGTGGTAAAAATACTTTATTATGGTACTCGTAAAGTCGTAAAGTAGGGAGTGATTTTACTTTTCATTTCAACCCTATCCTGTAATATATTTTTGGATAAGTATTTAAAAATGAAAAGGTGTTTAATAAGATCATTTTTTGACAATATTTTTCGGAAATCGCTCCAAACATATAAAAAATGCGTCCCCTTCCAACTCTTGAACCCTATGTTTATAAAATATGAAAAAAAAAAGTAGAACTTCATAAATATTTCCTAAGAAAATTATTTTGAACTCGATAGGTTGAAAACTTTTTGTAATGTTGTACAAAAAAAAATCCGAACTAATTTTGTAGTTTAATCATATAGGCAAACATTTTTTTCTATTCTGAACGTATTTTCTTTAAAACAAAAAGGAATAATCGTCTTGGATTCCACTACGAAATTAAGTAGAATCAAACAAAAAGAAACAAAATTTACTTCCCTCGGTGAACTTAACCTTTCAATCATTTTTATTCGAGACACAATAGGTGCGCGAGCGCCGGCGTTCGTTTGGGGTTTGGTGTATTAATGAAGGCGATAGAAAAAGAAATATATATTTTTCGTTATGTACAGACACCTGTTAGGACGAGAAGGCGATAGGAAACTTCTTTCGAGAGAATGTTCAGAACCAACAAGATTTAGGAGATCCCAGCTTCGGCCCGGGAGAGTAATACGCTTGGCCTCATAGGATTGCGGCGTGAAACAATGCTTGCTTTGTGTTACGCTATGTGAGTAATGTTAGCCTTACCCCGTCTCCAAATTCCTCAGTACTCAAATACATATCACAAGAAACGCACACACTCATACAAAAATGTTTAAAAAAATATGTACCTATATTATATCACATAGGTAATATGTATTACTATCTAAATACATGCATTGCTTTATCAATATTAGTATTCAATAAATGAATTATGCATCAGATTATTGAACTTAGACGAACTTGAACTTTCTACATAAATATGTATGTACATAAGTACATACATTTACTGCTTTGATATTGTTATTGATATTAAATATCTGAATATATTAATTATATTGTGTTTTTTTTCTATTGAGATTACTTTAATCTCCAATTTTTAAAATGGTATCGATATAACACTGAAATTTGTAAGTCATTTTATTTTAATACTAGCTATTCACACGCTGCTCAGCTCCATTTTATCGTAGCGTGATGTTTTATAGCTATTAGAAAGAATTTTGGCCATCCGACCAGCGGTTCCAAAGATTACCCCCTTATTTTACCTCTTTATAATATCAGTACTGACTGCACGGTTGGTGCGTTGGCTGGGCAACTGGCTGCCGTGCAACGTGTCGCGGGTTCGATTCCCATCCGGAACAACTCTTTGTGTGACCCACAAATTGTTGTTCCGGGTCTGGGTGTCATGTGCATGTTAAATTGTATGTTTGCAACCGCACCCACGACACAGGAGAAAATCCTAATGTGGGGCAACGTTTTTTAATAAATCAAAATCAATCAAAAAAAATCTATTATAGATTTAGTTTTGATATTGTTGTAAACTTATTAATAATACTAGAAAATGATACTCCAATTAACACCTGGGCACTACACCTAAGAGATATTTTATTGGAAGTTGACATAAGTGTGGGACAGCCATGATTCGGTACAAATGGGTCGACTCGACCAGAGGGATACCATGGCCTCACAGAAAACCAGCGTGAAACAACCACAGGGTTGTATTTCTTTGTTTAAGTCCTTCCCCAATCGCTAAATCTCCTGAACTCTAATCCCCAAAAGGTCAGCAACGCATTCGAAACTCCCTAAAAATCTTTCTCTATTTAAGAGATTCTCATTTGATTTTATTTTACTTTCGGAAAACTTAGCAGAAGCTAGAAAAACAATATGAAAGAAATAATATGACACTTGAAGGACATTCACAAGTTTTCACAAACAGGTTCTACATCCAAACTAATATTACTTATAAATGCGAAAGTAACTCTGTCTATCTGTCTGTCTGTCTGTCTTTTCTTCACGCCTAAACTACTCAGCCCGCCAGCAGGGTTAGTTTTTAAGCAAAAAATCTACAGGTAGTTACTATTCCACGCAAACATAGTCGCAAAAGCTAGTGTTTATAAAAAAAAATTGGTGTCTGAAAACCTAGTAATATACTATGGTATTCATATTGCAAGTGGACAAAAAATATATGTATAAGTAATAAAAATTTAAATCCCTCATAGCTTTCATTCTTTTCAGTTCCATATAGTTTAATTTATATGGGTAGCTTACGGATTTGGGTTTATGAGTAAAAGATATTACAAAGCATTTCAGATCAAACATTGGAGAGATAGCCTGAGCAGAGAAAAAAATTGGAGACTGTGGACCTATCTCTTAAAAAACCGGCCAACAGCGTATCGGGCTGTGCAGGGTCCGTAGTCCGTTTCCCATCTGACACAAAATGTCCCAACTTAAAGAGTTATTGTAAATCTTAACACCGCATGATAGTAGCATAAGTACAGCGCCATCTTTTAGGGAATTGGTCTTACGGGGTTTGAGATTTTGTCCTATAAAAAGTCATATTTATTACTCTACCTAATAAATATTGTAATAATGTATGAGAGTATCGCCCGTATTGCTTTACTGTTGAATGTTGCTAAGCCAACATTTAACCAACCATGCACGAGTTACAAAAGAACTATGATAATCAGTTTTTTAATCCTAACGATTTATCCTAATCTAGACGTTAATAAAAACGCTTATACCATTAGCATATTTATCTCATTAAATGTAACCATTTATCTAGCTTAGTATCGAAAAAAAGAAGAAAATGAAAAATGTATGTTCCTACAACTCTGTTATTTTACTTTAACGATTATTTTCATAGCCTTAAAATCCAAATCGGAATGCATTTTTTAAGCTGAATTTTTTTAAGGACGCCTTATAAACAATGAAGCTAATTTATTGTTTTATCGTAAGTAAAATAATAAGAGATATAAAAGGTAAATTGCCACTTCATTCATAAGCCGGTTTGCATATCATATCTCTCGTTCCGCTTTGTAGGTTCTGCTCCTGTGTCGTGGATGCGTGCAGCCAGACCCAACACGATAATTTGTGGATCACATAAAGAGTTGTTCCGTGCGGGTATCAAACCCACAACACGTTGCACGCGAGTTGGTTTCCCAGTAACCGCGTCAACTGAACTTCAGAAAAAACCCTCACAGAAAACCGGTGTGAAACAACCACAGCTTTGTCATTAAGGTTACCGGAGGACCAATCCCTTTCCCTCCCCTATCTCTTCCCTATCCTTAAATATCCGCAACCCTGATCCCTAAAAGGCCGACAATGCACTCGTAACTCCTTTGGTATTGCGAGTGACCATTAGCGGCGCCAATTGCTTACCATCAGGTAATCCGTCGGCTCTTTTGCCGATGAGTTTACTGGAAGCCCAAACACCCCTCCCACGTTCCTAATTCAACCAATTGTAACATCCCCAATCCCTTAAAGGCCGGCTACTTTTTAGCATTGCAGGTGTCTATGCTCTAGGCGCCGCCGATCGTTTACCATTCGGGTGACCGGACGACTCGTTTTCCGTCCAATATCATAAAAAGTATAATCCTAAAATATTACATTTAAACGTACTTAATTGCAGAAAAACGGACGTTCTAATATGTATAATTTTCTCGCAAATTCTTCTGAATGCATATTAAATATGGCATAAAGAAAAACAAAACACGGCGTCAAAAGTGTAAATAAACAATCGTTGCGCAATATTGATCGTATCTAACAAATAAAAGTAAGTAGTTATCCTTGAGTCCTTTGCAACATCTTCAGTCAAGTGTCAAGATGCTATGAGAATTAATTAAATATATTAGCTTATTTAACTCATGGTTCCGTATCAATAAGTTTTATTTATTTGGCATTTTTGTAGGTATCATCATTAAAAAAAATAATAAACTAGGAATATAATCAAATATTTTCTTTCCAATGGTTCCGATAAAATCGTCATTATTCTGCTGGCGGCACATGAACAGACGGATTACCTAATGGTCATGAGCATCCGCATCACCATAGAAGTTGCAATTGCGTTGCTAGCCTTTTGGGGATAGGGGTTTTGTAGTGTAAGTGATTAGGGAGATATAGGCAGAAGAGGAATTAGCTTTTGGTAACCTTACTCACATGGCGAATCACAATGATGTGGTTCTCAGTGGTATCTCTTTGATCGCGTCGGCCCACTCCTGAGGAAGCTCCTACACTTATTATCTTTTTAAAAGAATCCAATTTAAAATAAAATTCAGACAATCGTAC